CTTAGCTTTACTTTCTTAAGAGGAAGTTCATGTTATTTTTTTTTTCCTCCTTGAAGTGTAGTTGACATATTATGTTAGTTTCAGGTGTACAACATAGTGACCCAACAATTATATACTTTATGCGGTGCTCACTGCGATAAGTTAGTCACTGTCTGTCACCATACACCGTCATAACGACATTATTGACTCTATCCCCTATGCCGTACTCTTCATCCCCGGGACTTACATATTTTGTAAGTGGGAGTTTGTACATCTTAGTCCCCTTCACCTCTTTCGCCCATCCCCTGACCCACTTCCCCTCTGGCAACCACCAGCTTGTGCTCTGTTTTTATCAGTCTGGTGTTTTGTTTTGTTTTGTTTTTGTTTTCGTTAATCGTACATTATTCCTGAATGAGATGAATCTTAGGAGCATGGCTCAGCAGCAGCAACTGTTACTTCCACTTTCAGGTGACTTGTTTATAGAGTTTTTGTTATAAACAGAAGCCCCTTTGGATTATTTGGTTGCACATCTGACATCAGGAGTGGCAATTTGCAGTTGGGAGCAGTTTATGAGAATAGTTACGTTAATAGGATTTCTGGGCATATACGCATGGCCTCACCCCGCAAAAGTTCTGGAAAAAAAAAAATCCAATTACATGGTGTAGGCACTGCAGGAAGACAGATTATGTGTCCTTTTCCTTAAGGGTGTTTAGAAATAGAGACAATGAAGCTACATTGATATCTTTTGGTGGGCACGTAAATTGGTATAACCCTTTGCTGTTTATATCAAAAATATAAAAATGACCATTCTCCTTTGATCTGGTGGTTCCATGTTTGAGAGTCTATTTTAAAGAAATAATCTGAAATATAGGACAAGACTTATTATTCACAAAGAGGAATCTCAGCATTATTTATAATGGAGGGAAGATTTGGAGCCTGTTCAAATATCTAGCTTTCAGAGAATAGATAACTAAACTCTAGGTTATCCAGTCGTGTATCATTATTTAGCTGTTAGAAATGATGGCTGCGTAGAATGCATAATTACCACGGGGAGACGTGAGATTGCAATTAAGTGAAACATACCAGGAGACAAAATTTTATGCATATTGCGAATAGTGCACCAAAGAAAAGCCTGGGAGTAGATTTCAGTGGAATTGACTTTTATGGGGGGTTGGTGGGTTAGGTTCTCATTTGCAAGAATGATCCTTGGGGAGTCCATAAGTTATAGATACAGGATAGTATATGAAGTGTTAATTCTTTACTGATTGCTGTGTCTCAGAGGTCCTGGCTTCCATTAATATTTCAATTCCTCCCCTGGAGGTACTGCCAAAGCTGTTACCACACACTGATGCAATTCACAGTGCTTGAGAAACCCTCATACTGTGCTTATTTCTATAGATTTAACCCGTTTTAAACAGACTGGATTATCCTCAGTTGCTTTCAGTGCTTGCGGAGGGGAATCCCCTTGCGAGAGGGGGATCATGGGTGGATTTGTCCACATCATTTAAACAAAATTACCACGATGTTATCATTTTTGTTAACTAAACTCCAGACTCCGTTTGGATTTCACATTTTCCACTAAAGCCCTTTCCTGTTCCAGGATCGAATGATTCCAGGATACCACATGGCATTTAGTAAAATACTACTTTTTTTCCCCCTAAGACTCCTTTTTAATTACACAAGATGCATGAATATATTTTCCTTTTTAAAAGTGGGAACACAGGGGCGCCTGGGTGGCTCAGTCGTTAAGCGTCTGCCTTCGGCTCAGGTCATGATCCCAGGGTCCTGGGATTGAGCCCCGCATCGGGCTCCCTGCTCGGCGGGAAGCCTGCTTCTCCCTCTCCCACTCGCCCTGCTCGTGTTCCCTCTCTCACTGTGTCTCTCTCTGGCAAATAAATAAAATCTTTAAAAAAAAAAAAAGTGGGAACACAGCAGATAGAACTAAAAGTTTCTTTTGACTGTCACCGCTAACCTGAGCCACCTGGCCCCTCTGCAGAGATAATGCTGAAAAGTCTGACCTCCCCCTACCCCTGCCTGTCCACTCATCTCACACAGCTGCTTTCCTTCTTTGGATGAATACTTTTGGTTAAATTTGTGTATGTCATCTTTGTGTGTATGAGAGTTCACAGTACCCGCACCCTTACTCTGCCTTTTCTCTCTTTTCCATATTTTGAACAATGTGAATGCACTGCTTTTATAATGTATATATGTTAAAAAAAATAAGCTTCAAAAGGTGGCTTTCATAAAGGATATGGAAATGCCTACAGTCTAGCTGTAGGTGTGAGGCTGAGGTCAGTGTCCAGGGCTGGGCATAATGAGCACAGCTGAAATGGGACAGGAGTGGTCCAGCCTGGGTGGTACCTGTTTTGGTCTGTGGTAGGAAACCAGTCTGTGTCATAACTAACTCTGTTACAACAAGATCCACTTTCTATTGTCTGTCTGATGTTGAAATCGATTTTTTTTTTTAAGATTTTATTTATCAGAGAGACACAGCAAGAGAGGGAACACCAGCAGGGGGAGCCAGAGAGGGAGAAGCAGGTTTCCCAATAAGCTGGGAGCCCAATGGTGGGGCTCGATCCCAGGACCCCAGGATTATGACCTGAGCCGAAGGCAGACACTTAATGACTGAGCCACCCAGGCGCCCCTAGATGTGTTGTTGTTTTTTTTTTTTTTAATGGGGGGGTCCTTTTCTCAAACTCCTACAATTCTAAATATTTACTTAGTGCTCACTAGTTACCTGCTGCTTCATGAGACTCTCCAGAAGGCATGTGGATTGTGAGGCAGCTCTTTCCCCAAAGGCTCTTAAATTCATTTTTGGTGTTTTGGTTGATGACATTCCCAGGTGGGCTCAGGGATGGGCTTCCTGAAGCTCTAAGGAGGTGTAGCTCTAAGACTGTGAGTACATGACTGGCAGGCACCTGTAGTAGGTAGGAAAGGAAGGTCTGAACTCAGGGTCAGAGGACGAAGCACTTGTGCTGCGTCTGAGCTCAGTGTGGGGGAGTCGCTTCCCTTTTCAGAATCTTTAGAGGATAAAACCCCCCCCTCCTTGGGCGTATTGTGGGATTGGATGAGCATGTCACAGTCTGGGCAAGCACTTTATCAGCTGTTGTACCAATGTGAAGTTGCAGTTTTTAGTTGTAACCACTCCTGTTCAGCCGCCTGTCAGCCATCCCGTGCGGCTCAGCATCCGGGGATGGCGCCATTTCACTGGCCTTCTCAGACGCTCACCTCTTTTCTTGGCTTTTAGATCCAGACAAGTGAGAGTCACCCTCTGCGACAGTTCCATTTCACCTCCTGGCCGGACCACGGCGTTCCCGACACCACTGACCTGCTCATCAACTTTCGGTACCTTGTTCGTGACTACATGAAGCAGAGTCCTCCTGAGTCACCCATTCTGGTTCATTGCAGGTATGCAAATGGCACTCCGTGTGTGACATTTCAAATGTCATTAGACAAGGAAGGCATACGAGGGAATGCAGTAGGTGTTTGCAAATTCAAGAAAGGTTTGGATAAGGGACTAGGGACTGGAACAGGGGTTGGCAAACTATAATCCATGGGCCAGATCTGGTAGATTGCCTCTATTTTTTAAAACTACAATGTACTGGGGCTCCTGGGTGGCTCAGTCGGTTAAGCGTCTGCCTTCGGGTCAGGTCATGATCCCAGGATCCTGGGATCGAGCCCCACATCGGGCTCCCTGCTCGGCAGCAAGCCTGCTTCTCCCTCTCCCGCTCCCCCTGCTTGTGTTCCCTCTCTCGCTGTCTCTCTCTCTCTGTCAGATATATAAATAAAATCTTTGAAAAATAAAAAAACTACAATGTATTGTAATTTATTTCTTATTTATAACATTTTCTAATAAAATATTTCAACCTTACAAAAATAGAGAGTAATAATCTAATGAAATATAATGTGAGGTCATATATTTTTTTTTGTTAATAAGATCTTAAAGATATAAAGCCTCTACTTATCAGTCTCCTTCTTACACAGTTAAATGTGGTCCTAAAGTGGATCTGAATCATTCCTTTGCATGCTTTTGTATTTTATTTCATATATATATCTATGGGTTTTATATAGCTTTAAACTTTTACCATATTTTATGATAGATACATCATTCTGCAACCTCCTTTCTTCATTCAGCATTTTGGTTTGTTACTTAACAAAGTTGGAACACATAGTTCTAATTCATTTTATTTATTAATGAATTTTTTTGGCATGCAAAACTGTATATAAATTAACGTATACAAGTTCATGAGTTTGGAGGTACCTACACCTGTGAAACCATCACCACAGTCTCTTTGGCTGCCTATTTTTGTAAATAAAGTTTTATTGGAACAGAGCCATACTCATTTGTTTATATATTGTCTATAGTTACTTTCATGCTATAATGGCAGAAAGAGACCATTTTGTCTGCAAAGCCAAAGATATTTATTATCTGATCCTTTACAGAAAAAGTTACCCCCCCCACCCCCGCCCCGAACAATAAGACACTAGCTTTTAAGCTAAAGAAATTCATTTAGGACAGAAGAAAAGACGGGCTTTGTTGCCCTGTGGGGAATAAGTTGATGAAACTTGCCATCCTAGGTTATTGTGGTAACTTGAACGAAACTGAGATTCAAGAAGCTCTAGCAAGATGTTTTATTTGTGGCATTTGACTCAAAATGAACTTTAGGGTTTGGGTCCCAATCCCAAGCTAATGCCTTCTGACTTGCCAAGATTTCAGTTGAGCAAATGTTTAATGATCCTGGGCATTGATAGTGGGGGAGAGCAAGATATATGTACAGTGGGGACATTTGAGAGTTTTACATTAGACTAACCCATGGTGATGTGCTCATTTCTTTTTCTCTTCAGTGCTGGGGTTGGAAGGACAGGCACGTTCATTGCCATTGATCGTCTTATCTACCAGATAGAGAATGAGAACATGGTGGATGTGTATGGGATTGTGTATGACCTTCGAATGCACAGGCCTTTAATGGTGCAAACAGAGGTGAGGCCAAGCTCTGTGTTTGGCAGGCTGCTTTTCCAATCCGTTTTTAAAAAGGTTGCATCATGTCACATACTTGAGTTAAAACATTTCAGCCTTCTACATCTTTCGGCTCTGGGCTGTGAAGTAACACTGGATTTCTTTAACATCCTTAACTGATGTGTGATTGAATGATCTGATCCAGCCAGATGGTGGTAACTGATATCAGCAACGGAACAGTACAAACCAAGATACTATCAGGACTCCCTACCTTGAGGCTACTAACTCATCAAATAATCTGAACTTTGGCTTCTGGGTTTTAAACTCATAAAGCTGGTATTATCGTGCTTTGTTTCTAAGAAGGTCTGACCATCCTTAAAATAAGCTCATGAATGGACTCATCAGATGTTAACGATGTGAATGAAATGGCGTAATGTTGCTGTGTTAATAGGCTGTGTATCCTCACCCAGCAGAGCAAATATGACACCACGTCAATTATCATAGCTAAAGGGGGTGGCTGGCCAATTGAGACGATGAATGCTTAATATCTACAGTGTCAGTTGGGTAAGACTGTGGGATTCGGCTTTCCCTGAAATGTTCCTGATAAACATTGTTTTCAAGTCATGTTCTCAACAATATATTGGGAAATAGCCTTCCTCGATGCTGTAGGGGTGAATGTGCCTTGACTGGGATGAGAGCAGAATATTAATTTTGTATCAAGCTGTCTCCCCGTACCAATTTAGAACTCCATGAATATGGGCTGTGTTTTTGAGTCTAGCAGGGAATGTTCTGGAGGCCTGGGTACATTGTGTGCTTTGGGGTGAGCGGCACGGTTGTGGTAGAAAGAGTGGAATTCATCTCTTTGTTGGTCAGAAGAGAGATTTTCTTTTTTCTGCTATAATTATGTAGAGTAGGACTCAGTCTTTTATCCCCTTTTGAGAAACACAGAAATCTTATACCTGCCTACAAATTCTTTTCTTGTTCCTTTTCTTTTGTAGTTTGAAAATAATATAAACTTGTTTATCTTTTTATTTTTTATTTTATTTTTAAAAAATTTTTTGAGAGAGAGAGAGAGAGCATGCGTTTGTGAGCAGGTGTTGGGGGGGAACAGGGGGAGGGGCAGAGAGAGAATCTTAAGCAGGCTCCATGTCCCCAGCGTGGAGCCCCATGCAGGGTGGAGATGATGACCTGAGCTGAAATCAAGAGTCAAATGCTTAACCAACTGAGCCCCCCAGGGACCCTGTAAACTTGTTCATCTTAAAACATCTAATGAAACAGGATTATATGGAATATATTTTTCTTTATTACTTTTTCTCCCCCAGTCCTACTCCCTAGAGGTAGCCAATGCTTACAGTTTGTATATATCATTATAGATTTCTTTTTTTAAAAAATATTTCTCCTTTTTTTTTTTTTTTTAAAGATTTTATTCATTTATTTGTCAGAGATTGAGAGAGCACAAGCAGGGGGAGCGGCAGGCAGAGGGAGAAGCAGGCTCCCTACTGAGCAAGGAGCCCGATGCAGGGCTCAATCCCAGGACCCTGGGATCATGACCTGAGCCGAAGGCAGATGCTTAACTGACTGAGCCACCCAGGTGCCCCTCATTATAGATTTCTTTATGTACATCTGTAGAAAGACAATATATTGGGAAATAGCCACATAGCCACACACACAGTATATATATATATGTATATATGGCTAGCGCTTTTTTAAAAAAAAAATCTGAGTACAGTTGACACACAATGTTCCTTTAGTTTCAGGGGTATGACATAGTGATTCAGCAAGTCTGTGTGATAAGTTGTGCTCCCCACAACTGTAGCTACCATCTTTTACTCTACAATGCTATTACAATACCATTGATTATATTCTCTATGCTGTACTTTTTACCCCCTTGGCTTATTCATCCCATAACTGGAAGCCTGTACTTCCCACTCCCCTCCCCTATTTTGCCCATCCCCCCTCCCCGGCAATCACCAGTTCTCTGTATTTATAGGTCTGTTTCTGCCTTTCATTTGTTTGTTTCAATTTTTAGATTCTATGTTTAAGTGAAATCTTACGATATTTGTCTTTCTCTGTCTGACTTACTTCACTTAGCATAATACCCTTTAGATCCATCCATGTTGTCGCAAATGGCAAGATTTCATTCTTTTTTATGGCTGAGTAATATTCCATCATAGATCTATACCACATCTTCTTTATCCATTCATCTGTCAGTGGATGCTTAGGTTGCTTCCATATATTGGCTACTGTAAATAATACTGCAATAAACATAGGGGTGCATCTATCTTTTTCAATTAGTGTTTTTGTTTTCTTTGGGTAAATACCCAGTAGTGGAACTACTGGGTCATAATGGTATTTCTATTTTTAATTTTTTTGAGGAAACTCCATACTGTTTTCCACAGTGACTGCACTAGTTTACATTCCCACCAACAGTGCACGAGTGTTCCCTTTTCTCCACATCCTTGCCAACACTTGTTGTTTTTTGTCTTGTCTTTTCCTGCCATTCTGACAGGTGAGAGGTGATATCTTATTGTGGTTTTGATTTGCATTTCCCTGATGATGAGTGATATTGAGCATCTTTTCATGTGTCTGTTGGCCGTCTGTGTATCTTCTTTGGAAAAATGTCTATTCAGGTCCTCTGCCCAATTTCTAATCAGATTGTTTTTTCTTTTTGATGTTGAATTGTATAGGTTCTTTATATATTTTAGATATTAACACAGAGTATTTTTTAAAAAATTGGATCCTGTTTTATATGTAATGCTGCACTGTGATTTTTTTTTTCTCTTAAAGCATCATGGATATCTTTCTGTCAGCATATACCTCTTCTTCCTTTTCCTCTTCTTAATGGCTACCTGCAGATTCTGACAAGCTTGCCTGAGGGTTGTCCGCACCTAACTCTACCCTGCTTATAACCCGTCCCCTCTGTTGAGAATCACAATTTACTCCTTATACTGCACATGCTCGCTGACCAAGTAATTCTTGTTGGACTTTTTCTTGTTTGAATGTACATGTGCATTATTTCCTCCACATTCATTCTTTGCTCTTTCCCAAGATTCTGGGGCTCCTCCTTGGGGAGGGGAGGTGTGGGGAGTGTGTCCCTCTGGTTAAGAATGATTGATGACGGGCGCCTGGGTGGCTCAGTTGGTTGAGCGACTGCCTTTGGCTCAGGTCATGATCCTGGAGTCCCAGGATCGAGTCCCGTGTCGGGCTCCCTGCCCAGCGGGGCGTCTGCTTCTCCCTCTGACCCTCCCCCCTCTCATGTGCTTTCTCTCTCTCATTCTCTCTCTCTCTCAAATAAATAAATAAAGTCTTAAAAAAAAAGAAGAATGATTGATGATGAGAATCTTGCTCTCTGTGGTTTCAGATTTCACCAGAATGTGGCGGCCTCTTGATAAACGTGAACTTGAACCGTTCACTGGGGGGTTGGTGGATTTGGGGGAGTGGCGGTAATCTGAAAATAGCCTTGGGTGCTAATAATCTCTGGGACCGCTGCTCATTTGCTTTCTCCTTTTACTCTTCTACAGGACCAGTATGTTTTCCTCAACCAGTGTGTTTTGGATATTATCAGATCCCAGAAGGACTCAAAAGTAGATCTCATCTACCAGAACACAACCGCAATGACAATCTATGAAAACCTTGCACCCATGACTGCGTTTGGAAAGACAAATGGTTATATCGCCTAATTCCAAAGTCAGACATTTCTGGAGTTACCCAGACCGTCACACCCACAGCAAAGGAATATGCCCCGATGTGGACATGTTTTTATATGTCTAATATCTTAATTCTTTGTTCTGTTTTGTTAGAACTAATTTGAGGGTGTGAGGCTGCTCACGTGCAACATAACAGATGAGAAGTTGGGGCTGTCAGGGGCTGTGGATGGGTGGTGAGCTAATCAACGACATTCCTGATCACCAGTGGGATGAGTTCACTTTTTGTTTTTTGGTTGTTTTTTTTTTTTTTTCTAGAGAATTACGGAACACCAGGAAAAGTGAGCTATGATTTTTTTTTCTTTTTCAAGACAGATTCTTTTTAAAAAAAGACTATTTTATATGATTCACATGCTAAAGCCAGGATTGTGTTGGGTTGAATATATTTTAAGTATCAGAGGTCTATTTTTACCTACTGTATCTCGGAATCTAGCTGATAGAAAATACATAATTGTGGATGATTATCATGTAGGGAGGGGTACGTGGTGCCTCTTCTGCCTGGGTTTTCTATTTGAACATGTGCCTTTTCTGAATTATGCTTCCACAGGCAAAACTCAGTAGATATCTCTATTTTTATATTGAATCTCATAATTGGAATATACGGAATATTTAAACAGTAGTTTAGTATCCAAGATTCAGCCTTCTCAGTAACATTCCTGTTCTCATTTGACTAGAGGAGGCCTCCCCCTCCCCCTCCACTTCTCCTCTCCCGTTTCGTGCTCTATTCTTTCTTCCCTTTTCCCTTCCCTTTTCCCCAAAGACACTTCTGTTGGCCACATTTTCAGCCCATTGGTTGAGTGGGAGTGGAAACCAGGTATCACCTTGAGAATTTCTGGGGGGCAGGGAGGGAAGCAGAGGAAGCCTACAGTGACATGATCTCCTTCTTCTTGTCCCTGTTTTATCCTTTTTCTTGTTTCTGTATTTGGTAAGAAGGATTATTTAAAGGTGCAATATGTGACTTAGTGATTCATGATGCTCTAGGTTTTTAGTAATGTTTTACTCAGGTTGGCATTTTATGTGTGTCCATGTGTCCGTGTATATGTGTGTGTGTGTGTGTGTGTGTTTAAAAGCGTGGCAATCTGTGAACACTTCAGTGTGAAAACAGTGTCTGATTAATCCCTCCTCCCTCAAAGTCCACTGGCTTTAGACTCTCTGCAGTGACACACATCCATATCTACTGTATATATATACTAAACTCTTAAAACAGTCATTCCTTTGAATTAAGGTGTACAAAATTTGAATTTGTATCAAAGATGTAATTATTTTTAAAACATCTTTTCACTATACTGCTGCTGTAATTACTTTGATTTTTTTTAATGTAGATTAATTTTTTTTTTTTGCTTCAGGTGTTGTATCCACCAAGAATTTCAGAATTTACGTGGATTTATTTTATTGGTACATAATCTGTAAACTTCTCAAGGCATTAACATGAAAGGATTTGTTTCTTTTTATTTTATATTGTGGCTCAGGTTATATTTTGAAGAAGTTTTGTGTTTATCCTCCTATAGGCAATGACGTATATAAGGTCTTATGAAGGAATTACCAACCCCCTGGAATCCTGTGGCCATTTTCCACAGTAATAAATCCTGCTGTAAACTTAGGACCATTGTGTCCGAGTGAAAACGGGAGCGGGGTCTTCTCTGAGTGCCCCGGTCACCGTTAACCTGGGGGAGCCCGTCTCCTGACCCTGCCGTGTTCCTCACTCTGTTGGCACTTTGAGAGCTGACTGGACGTGCTAGTGGGTTATGAAGGGTGAACCACAACCAGAAGCCCTTGATTCGGTTCGGAGGTTTAGCGCTTCTACGTCTTTGCCCCCCTTTTCCCTTTGAGGTACTGGAAGGATTAAAAGGAGAGGTGGTGACGGTGTCGTGTCTGGGGAGAACTTCCTTCCCACAGAGAAATTGCACTTTTTGCCGAATCCTTTGCTCTCTTTTGTGGCAAGCAGTTCATTCAGCCTTGGGCCCTTAAAGGAATGGGTGGTACAGGCCTGGGCGGGCCCTCTGGACTCAACTTCAGAGGGGCCTTCAGCTCTTGAGGTCTGCATCAGGGAAGCCGCGCTGCTGAGTGATGCCAGGTTTGGGTGGATGGCTTCCAAACCTTCACACTGGTCTGCCCCTCGATGCACGCAGATCTCGGAGAGTTCCCTGACTGCATCGAGAGGCCCCTGCCCCGGGCAGAAGTTCTCTGGGCCATCCCGCTTTCCACTTCAGTTGTCAGGAATTCAGTGGGATGGGTGTGTAGGTGTCAAGTCCAACAGAGATGCTCTGCCCAGCCCTGCCCACATCCCTGCCATGGAGAAATCAGAGGGAAGGACTTGGCTCTAAAAATTCCTTTAAAAGGTTAAAGCAACAGTAATTGTAAACCTATTGTATAAAAACACACAAAAAAACCCAGAAACCCTCCTCCCTCTGCCTGATACGGGTTTGGGAAATGGGCAGCAGCCCTAGCAAGCCACTCTTAGATGTCATTCCCAATCCTGGGAAGAAGGCCTGTGGTGGACAGGTCTGGATTCCACATGGCAGGTCAGACGAAGGTCACGAAGCTTCTTTGCATCCTGAAGAGGGCTGGATTTGGGGCCACTGGGGGTGGTGAGGGTATTTATAGCACAGTGATTGAAAAGGGAAGGTAATTGTGTAAATATAAAGGACACATGGGCTGGGGGTTGGCCATAGAAAAGAGAAGGTGCTTTTGAGCTCCTGTCCCAAAGCCTCCCAGGAACAGTGAACTAAAATTTGTGGAGTCCAGTGGAATCACAGAGATGGTGTGATCATCCCTGCTTTAGTATTTGCCAGTTGCACACAGAAAAACAGCAAGGGTGGGATGAGTTACCCGTGAAGGATTGATGGTCAGTTGGTTTGGGGGATTTGGGTCATTGCTACCTTCTCCCAAGAGCAAGGGCGTTTGCCTCCAAAGGTAAACCTGGTGACACAGGGACCAGGGGAAAATGACATTTGGAGGTCTGTTCCCCGTGGGCACGTAGTGACCTCTGGCTGGACTTTGGCACATTTGACTGCACTGGATTTGGGCTTCATCGAGTCAGAGGCTCCTGGGGGATGGGGGCCAAATATGCAGCTGATCCATGTTTGCTTTTCATCTGAGATGAAAAAACCTGGTTTTCTTTTGCAGTGCTGGGTTGTGCTTATTGAACTAAACGAGTCTTGGCGACTGATGTTGATTTGCCTCAAAAGTCCAAGTTCTGAGTTTTCAGACTGTGTAGCCGTCAAGTGTTCGACATACTGTAGCTTTTTTCCCTTGGGGGCACATATGAACAGGATGTGTTGATATGGACTCTAAAACTGTAATTTTCTTGTAACTATTTTGGAATGATGCATATTTCTAATGTTTGTTATACTTGTACAGAGTATTGCTGTTGGTTGCTTTTTTTTTTTAAGGAAAAAAATGGCCTGAAAAAATTTTTTTAAAAAGACTCACAAATACCAAATATAAAAAATGTCAACACACTGTGCCTTTGTTTCTTTTTTCCCCCCACTTTTTACTTTATGGACACCATTTCATTTACGAAGCAGTGTCCTGGCCGGCGTGTAACTGGGGCATCTTTAACAACAGCGTGTCCCTTTTGGATTTTCTACCTTGTCTTTGTTTGCGGGGCTGCCACAACAAAGTGCCACAGACCAGGAAGCTGAAACAACAGAACCTTACTCTCTCACAGTTTTGGAGGCCTGAAGTCCAAGCTCAAGGTGCTGGCAGGCTGGTTTCTTCTGAGGCCTCTCTCCTTGGTTTGCAGATGGCTGCCACCTCCCTTTGTCCTCACACGGTCTTCCTGTATGTCGCTCTGTGTCCTAATCTCTTTTTATCTGGATACCAGTTACAAAGGATTAAGGTGTGCCCCCCACCCCCCGAGTGACTTAATGTTTACTGTACTCACCTCTTTAAAGACCATATCTCCAAATACATTCTGAGGTACTGGGGTTAGGAGTTTAACATAAGAACTTTGGGGAGACATAATTCAGCCCAAAACACACATCCAGGGAGACTACGTGAAGAGGAGACTTGGAAGAAGTGAGTGTGCTTCTAAGATGTGGCTGTGTATGCACTCAGCGGGTCAGACACCTGGGTCGACAGATGGACAGACACCCCACTTCCGCCACTTGGTGGTAGCACGCATGCCGTAGGCAAGTCCCCAGGAGTTTTAGAGGACTTTTGGGGGGACACCTGGGTGGCTCAGTCGTTAAGCGTCTGCCTTCGGCTCAGGTCATGATCCCAGAGTCCTGGGATTGAGCCCCGCATCCGGCTCCCTGCTCAGCAGGGAGCCTGCTTCTCCCTCTGCCTGCAGCTCCCCCTGCTTGTACCTTTGCTCACTCTCTCTAACAAATAAATAAAATCTAAAAAAAAAAAAAAAAAAATAGAGGAGTTTTTGGTGATTGATTTGGGGAATCCCAGAATTGCTGGGACACTGTAGCAGTTTGGGCAGTTTTTATTTCCGGTGTCTACCATGCACCTGCCACTCTATCTCAGTGGCTGAGGGTTCCACCATGAACAAAAGGGACAAAAAGCTTTGCCCTCATGAAGCTGATATTCTGATGGGGGAAACAGACCAATAACATAAGTAAATAAAATCTTTAGTGTGTTAGGTGGTAAAAATAGAAAACAGCATTCATGCCCTGATGCACCAACTCGTAGCTTTCACACGATAAGCACTGCACACACCTGTGCCAAGGAGAAAGCCTTCATGCCACGCGCTCCCACGCGCTCCTGCTTGTGGGGAGGACAGAGACTGCTCAGAAAGCCTCGGTGCACGCGCGGCAGGCCCACCAGTGGGAGAAAGAGGAACGTACGCAGCAGAAGTCCTCCCGTAAGGAGGAGCGGGGCCTGTGTGCCGCAAACACAAAAGGGAACTCACAGAAATGCCAGAGCAGGTTTAAGAGCACAAGAGGGATTCCAGGGGAATGAGGGGTGCTGGTTTCTGAGCTGAGTCTTCAGTGGAATTTTCGGAATTTTTGCAGGCGGTGATGGCGGTGGTTGGGGCGTGAAGGCACAGGCGTTACCTGGGGAAAGTGTCAGGGAGGCTGGAGTGCCAGCACGGGAGAGTGAGCGCACCTGGCGGCGGTGGATGAGCCTGGAAGGGAAGAGCTCCAGGACTGTGTGTGGTGGCCTGAAGCTGTCTCACTCCAGACACTTACACATAAGTAACCACATGCATGGGGCGCCAGGGTGGCTCCCTCATTAAGCGTCTGCCTTCGGCTCAGGTCATGGTCCCAGGGTCCTGGGATCGAGTCCCGCATCAGGCTCCC